TAATCAGTATGCATGACCAATTGAATAATTTCATTTAATTCATTTTTACTGCACTTGAACACATCTATGGTCTACCAAAGGATTAACATTTCAACCACGGCTGTTTGGTTTCAATAATTTATCTATTCTAAATAAAGTATATTATTAAATCAACAAATAAGTTCCTTCCGCTGGTAGCGTCTTCCTTGTCAGGGTTCAATTATTTCTGAAATAATCAGTATGCATGACCAATTTAAAAAGGTTCAGAATAAATGAAATTATTCAATTGGTCATGCATACTGATTAATTCAGAAATAATTGAACCCTGAAAAAAATTCAGAAATAATTTCATTTAAAAAAATGAAAATTTCATTTCATTTAAATTTAAAATCGCTAACACAGAAAATTTGTGTTAGCGATGTATGGCAGGACTTTGGAGTGACTCGCAGCTATATAACAATGCGATACACATTCAGATAAGTCAATTAATTTGCAGGCACTATACTGCGCCTGCTACTACCGTGCCACGACACCGCTCCTCAGAATGCCACCAGCATGCGATGGCGAGCAGCTATCGTCACGCAGCGCGCGCCTGAGCGGCTCACTGCCACGTAATCGTGACAAAACCTGGCGGAAATGTCTATATTTTAAGGGGAGCATCTTGTGAATAATGGTATATTTCGGTTTTTCCTCTTTTTATGCTCGTCTTAAAGCTGAAAATCTGACCTATCCAACGCTACCAAAATCATCTCTGTACGTTGATTTATGCGTTTTCGACAGATCCCGAAAGAGTCGCCATTCGTCGAGTCCTTCACAAATCGCTTTCAGGAAAATTACCTGAACCTGCACATATATGCTTGCTCTGACGGCCTGAGTTCAGTACCCCGAACTGTCATGCAGGAATGTGTTTATGCAGTTGTTCTCTGCATCGCTGACTCACTTCTAAGTGAAAGAACTCGTAACTTCGCTATCATATAGCTACGGGAAATGCCTATGTTTAGCGCAGTGCGATCGGCCGTCCGTTTGGTGGCTCTCAACATTCCTGAACATCGCACTTATTGTCACTGGGAAACTATCTCCTCCTACAGTTTTGAAGCTACGGCATTGAGAGATATACCATTCGATTTGATCGTAGTTTTTTCAGTTTCGTTATATTTTTAAAAATATTTTGAAAAAAGTGGGGAGCGGGGATTTGGAAAAATCTAAAAATGTACGAAAAATGCCCCCCACCCACAAAAATTAGAATTTCTAAAAAAGCTACGAGCAATCGATAGATATGGTCTTTACGCATCGAATGATATGTGTCTCGATTTTCTAGCTTGAAAATCCTAGGAGGAGATAGATTTCTAATGTACCCTCTTTTTTGGCCATTTTTTTTAAGAATGTTACGTTTTCAATCAATTTTTTTTAAAAAGTCTTATATATCTGTTTTACATATGTGTACCAAGTTTCATTGCGATCCGTCTGTAAATTACCGAAATAAAATTTCCGCAGGACGCTCCCATTGACACCAACGCGAGGTCAAAATAACGGGTAAGAAGTGTAATTTCTGAAACTACCGCAATGTCTCTGTACGCATCAATGCCGCTGAAGTTGGCATGCGGCCGTACGTGATTCATTCACCAATTTCTTACTCACTAGCGCGACAAGCCATAATATTCAAAATCGATCCACTGAACCCTCCTAATTGGCAGGAATGGGAGTTTTCCAATAAAATACGACTCCAATTTTGAGTCTCGCTCTACGGCGATAGGCTGCATAGAGTGAAAGTGCTCATGACCATAGTGATGTCGAAATGCGCCCCTTTTCATCAAAACGAGAACCCAAATGACAAAAAATAACTCGGAATTATCTTAATTGACCGACACGAGTACGAAACATAGCTCCACATCTCAATATGAAAATGATACTTGACTGAGAGGCATAACTATCGGGAGTGGTACCGGTATATGAAAATAGTTGAAAAAATCGATTTTCAAACGACAGTTCAACTACTAGGAGAGGTTACAGCGACTGGGTCTGTACTCACTGCAGAGGAGTCGGGAGAGGTATGTCATTCTGTACACATGGAAAATGATAACCGGAATGGTGCCAAACTTCGAGAGCGAGACCTTCAGGATTAAGACATATCACAACGAGAGAAGGAGGAGACTGTGCAAGATCCCCCCACTACGAAACAGATCCGCAGTCAGATTTTAATCCCTGCGGGAAGGATCACTTTCAGGGGCAGGGCCAAGGCTGTTCAACGCCCTACCAAGGGATCTAAGAGAGGGGGAGTTCACCCTGTATACCTTCAAGAGACAACTAGACGTATCCCTGGGCACAATCCCAGATCGACCTCCCCTGCAACACTACCAGCGGCGAGAAGCAAGCATCAGCATCGTACATCAGGTGGCCCAAATGAAGGCGGATGAACGATAATCAGAAGCGGCGATTCATCGTGGCCTGGGACTGCCCATGTCCCAAACAAATACTAAAGAATACAAAAAAGCCAGAGCTAATGAAAATGTGTCCTACGCCAAGAACATTTAAATGTTATTCTACTTTGTTGCAAAAATACATTTGTTACTCAAGTAATAGTTAGTCCTTATTATCCAGTGTGCCTTTAATTCATACCATTTTTTAAATGACTTGACATTAGAAAATTTAGGCTGAAGACCTATTGTGTCATTCAAGTATAATCATGTTGTAAGTTAGGACATAAAAACATGACCATCTTGATCGGTATGTGTCTGTTGAGTACGTTGGAGCTGAGTTTAAATTTAAAATGTCGTCAGCCAAATCCGTCCAATTGAAAAATGTTTATTTTTGTTCAGTGAATTTTTTCTGAGTTGATCATAGTATTGACGAATATTACAGTCATTTGACTCGCTTCCCGGTTGCCGTGAATGTGATGGTTACCACCGAAGATTTCAACATGTTACACCTTAAAATGAAGATTCCACGATATATAAATGCCGAAGTAGATATCAGATTTTCAAATTTACTATACAGCTCTGTGACATCATTTTATTGATTGATTTAAGAGTTTTTATGGGAACTTTAGTCAGTCTCACTTACTAAAGTCGAATTAATTTTTTGAAAATCGTATCACCTTTGATCTTGCTCCTTCTCTCTTGGCATGGAATTCACTGTACTGACTAATCCTTAAATTTATACACCTCATGCATATGCAAACATCGAACAAACCAGGAAAAAACAGATATTTTTCAAATTGAAGCATACTCTCTGTTATTATTTTTTTTTCGAGGATATTTGAAAAGAATTAAGTTGAACGAGGAAGTTTAAACTGGAAAGGAGGAAGTTCTAATAACCGGACTAGAGTCAAGGAAAAGTCGGAAAAATCAAACGGACTGAGCGAGAAGTTCTCTCTGCCGAAGTCCCCTTTGCAGAAATCGTGCTGGTGATTTGTGAAGTTTGAAATAACATAGAAGTTCGGAACCTGATATTGATTTGTTTAAAAATTGCTACACTTTTCACGAAAATGGCATAAATGTAAAAACCTTTAATTCGCAATAGTCATGATTTGTACTTGAAATTGATTGGATTGTAAGACTCGATAAGATCATAAAAAGTATACTGCTTCATCTTCTAGTATTTAAAGATAATTTCAATTGCGTGCTTATCTAACCACCAAATTTTCAAGAATCAGGCAAGCTTCATTTGTGTTTTAACCATTTTGCCAACTAATTTGCTGCTTTCCTTAAAAAATGTGTCTCAAATCTTTAGGAGTTCACCGCTTGATTCCAAAATATTAAGCTTCTTGGAGTTTGTTTTGAATTTTTCTACTAAGCTCAATTATAGTATTTGAAATATGATTGATAGTCGCTTGTAATCATTACACTAGGCTAAATTATTGACGAGGAAAATTTTTCACCTCACGAAGGGAATTAATTTTATCGTGCTAACTATTCATCTGTTTTTTCCAAACTTTTATGTGATTAATGCGAAGCGAAATCTGGCCTTAAACTCACAATGAGAGAATTAAAAAATTTCAAAGTGGTTTGTGAATATTTCTACTTTAAGCAGGTTTCATTGAAGACTAGCGAATTTGTTTCATTGACAATTTTCTTTATTACTTTTTATAATATTTCGAACAATTGAAAATCGAGGTAACGATGGACTTTTGAATTCGTTAACAACTTTTCGAATGCTTAAAGGAACAAATTCTGCCAGCCCATCCAAATATTTTTTTATACACTGAGAATCCTTCCTACAATCATTTTGAAATATGAGGGTATTTGGTAATGTGTGTATTTTTAATGTGTGCGTTTGATTGAATAGATTGTGAGTGAAAGCTAACATAATGTTAAAGTGCCGTCCCTAATCGGTGGTTAAAAAGAGACTGACTTCAATAGCAGAAGTATTTCGCAATAGAAACGTACCAATTAAAATTTTTGATTTCCCGTAGTCAAAATATTATTTTTCGAATGCAAGAAATATTTCTCAGTTGAGTGTTACTTCTCCAAAAAAAACATGTTATATGTCGTTACTATTGTACAGATAGAAATATTGTAACAAAATTTTGCAGAGGTCTGACTTCCTCAATCGGCGCAACTACAATAATTTTTCAAGGAATATAGAATTATCCACAGATTTTTTAAATTAGATAATTTGTATAAGTATTGTTAACAGTAATCTATACAGAAATGAAGGACAAGGCATATAGTATTTGATCACAGTCGAGACATTTCTGGCTGGACCAGTTAAAACATCATTTTAGATGTCATGCGTTTACGTCAAGCACGCGCTCTGGGGGAGAAAAAGTACTATAAATTTAATGTATTTAACAAGTTACTTGCATTTATTTCACTCACTTTTGTCCGTCAGACTAGCAACCATAATTGAAGGGTCTTTCAAACTTGATATCTGTCACTATATAGCAGGCAAAAGTTGATACGAAAGTTGACAGACGCTGCCACAAATAAAATTAAGGTGCTCATTCAAAATATAACCCGTAATAAGCGTGTATTGTGCTATAAATGTATTTTTTTTTGCATTTGAATTCATAGATTCATTCATTTCTATATTATCTAGACTAGAGTGCTAAACTAATCTTCAATGCAGGAAGCACCGTGAGTATTTCATGTATAGTTTACTAAGATTTATCGTTGCTTATGTTGCTGGAAGTATGGATCGAAAATCTGGTTACCTGAAGACATTTTATTTGCAATATGTTAATGTTTCGAACGTATCAACAATCAACATCAAGTTAAAAGACACATTGAATAATAAAATCTGTATCGACGGAGTTCAAATAACGCAAATAGAATGCAAATAAAAATGAGATTTCGATTGATAGAAGTACAAAATTACGTTAAAAAGGGAAGCTACTCGAAATATAAAGCCTGAGATTTACAACGGAAACAACATCTAAGTAATGACAAATCCGTTGGTTCGAAGATTGATAGCAGGAGTCCTAACATGATTGATGAGGGCTCCATGCAGCTATCACCTGCGTCGGATGGCGTCAGGGCGTCGCACGACAACGCTGGTGCACTCCTCCAGCACCGTGCGAGTGATGATCTCGTTGTGGGCCTCCATCATGTGGTTCCTATAGGTCCCTTGACTGATGGTGGCGGCTAATGAGAAAGACGACAGCACAATGTCGTAGTTGTAAGCCTTATGTAGTCAATATAGGGAAGAAGTCTGCCACCTTCATTATAACAGGAAAATTTAGTGACAATATTGGTATATCTTGAAGAACTCCGACTTTGTTGTAGAGGTTTTGGTTCATAAAAAATCTGAATTTTCTTGTTTTTACCTTCAAACAATAATTTAATTTTTTACTATTAGATGAACAGATCGAAGGATCTGTTCATCTGCTATATAATTGCTTGTCATTTGATTCTGGTAGTAGATTTTTGTGACATTTCCATTTGAGTCCGGTTCTTTATTGAGTTTATTTCGTTTCGATCGAAGACCTTTGATTTTGTTGTCGAATGTTCTATTGGTTAATCCATCAATGACTTTGAATTTTTTTGCTATTTCTCAGTTCAGTCACTTTCAGATGAGTAGGCCTTCAGAGCTCTTTAATTGGACGAGGGCGCGTATTGTGTTTCTTTTAGTGCCTTAGCTGGGCATCCCAGTTAAAATTTTGAGCCGAGACCGGCGCCGGGTTTAGCCGGGCTGGTCGCGCTTTAGCAGGATGGAGCCGTGAAAGTATAACCGGCCATCTATCCCTAAAACTGCGCTGTGCCATGGCTGATATAGAGACAAATTCTATACAGCTCGGCAGGGCCGGAACTCTGCGCTGTTGCAGCGCTGGTACTTGGATAGCCCGGCAGCGAGATGAACAGAGCAGCGAAGCAGGCCGTGCATGGTTGGGGGGGGTAGGGGTTGGAAACAGCTAGTGGCGGGAGAATGAACTTAGTCCTTCATCTAGTTCATTCGCATAGTACGATATTTTGGACCAATTCCTGGTGCCAGTTATGAAATTTATTTCACGTCAGTATTATAATACTTTGAATTACGTGAGATTTTTATATGCTCTTCCAGTTTTAACACGCAAACAGAAACATTTACGGTCATTCACGCGTTGCCAAGCGAGATATCAATCAGTTTATCATGAGAAAGTTTTCTAACTTGGATTTACAGAAAACGCGTTAATAACAGTAAATGTTAGAGCAAAGAAAATACCAAGGAAATTCACCATTTTTTCAATGAAAATGTGTAGCCAGCACCATCATCAGTTTAAAAAATTGATCGAATTTCCCTGCGTTTTGGCGCTGGTCTCCAAAACGTTTTGATTGAAGATATAGCGAATTTATTTGGCCAAGGTGTTCGCGTGGCCAAGGTGGTACAGGCGTTGACTACGACGCGGAGGATCTGCGTTCGATTCTCGGAGCTGCCGTCGACGTTTTCAGATAGTTCATAGCGGTGAGTAGTATGATGTGAATATTTGCTCGATAATTGAATTTGTTGGTTTCTAAATACCGTTGCTAATGTCAATACGATATGAATGTCAAAAACAAATGCACATACAACCTGTCATTGCAAGAGAAAAGTCTAGATGATCTCAGAGAGAAGGAAAAATTTTTTAAATCGTTGACAAACAGTAACGTGTAACTGCCGCGTACACTGCCAGAGCCGCCCCAGAGCAGGCGTTGGGCTGGTTTGAGCAGGCGGTGCTCAGTAAGGGCTGCCTGTTGGCAGGACAGAGCATGCCTGGGCAGGTACTCAGAGGTGAATTAGCGCTGCTACGCGGCTGGCGATATCGTCTCTAAAGCGGACATTTCTGCTCTATCGCGACTCTGTCGCGTCCCTACGGCGGCTCTACAGCCGGCGGCGGCCTGCTCTATTCCCTGCCCTAAATTTTAACTGGGATACGCTGACAGCGTTCAGGACTCTAACCGTCTACCGACATCTGTAGGTTTTTCTTATACCTGTGTGACAAACGACTTTTTTTAACTAAGACGACTACATCTAAGAAAGGCAAGGTTCTATTTTGCCGTAAGTCAAAATACAAAAAAAAAATTTGACGTAAAAAACAAAATTGGACGCAAGTCAAAAATTCGTAAGTGTTAACTCAAAACAGAATTAATTTCGAAGGCCATACGTCATTTCACTAGAACGTTTAAAACATTCATTACACAATGTAGCTTTTTAATAATTATTGATAATGAATGTTGATACTCTCGAAACGTTGTTAACATATTAATAATAAAATGACTCTCGGTAACCTGGTTTTCGATCTACAAACTTTAAGGGAAAATATCGTTCGACTTGTTGAAAATGAATAACAAATGAATTCAACTCATTATCTTGTCTTCGATCAAACTTGTTTAAAAGAACAAATTCTGCATTCCCATGAAAAAAAAATAATAATAGTGATAATTATGCCTGAGGTACTGATTTTATAAAAAACGGTAAAGCAGATACTTTGCTGTCTGCAGTAATCGCCTTTTCGCATTCCTTTCCTTTGCGTCGCACTTTTTCGCATTCGTGATCATCTGCGACGTTACTAATAGCCGGTGAAACGTCCTTAAATTTGGACTTTGTTGAGGCCCGTCCATATCGAGGAAATCAGTTTACATAATAGAGGTATATCCTCATAGCAGAAGTCTGTCTACAGAGTTGAGGAACGGCGTAATTCAAGACATATCCGTACCAACTAAATATTCGTCAAAAGGTTCAAGTCATTGCGTAGAAATTTCGTAGGAAGGAGTATGTGCGTGATTGTGCGAGGTAGGCACAGCTTGACTCACGAGACTATCATTTAAGTGACTGACATTTTCGTCCACCAGGTACGGCAAACGCTGTCCGAGACCAACACTCAGAGTTTGCCTGCTCTGTCTTGGCTCCATTATATTAGTCGGGATTTTAAAGACACCTCTTGACTCCCGTGAGTGACCAAATAAAGTATCGCATGAAATTTTTATTGTACCTGAAAATTTCATCAAGCAAAATAGATTTGAATCTCTTCCAATAATTGCAGAGAACGATTTAATTTCATGGTGTCAGTTCAAGCCCTATTACTTTCTCTTCTTTCGGATGCAGTGTGGAGCATCGACTGCTCTCCTCCTCTGGCTTGTGACCAGATTTCCTCTGACATCTCCGACGCGATGAGCGGCAGAAAGGAAAGACTCAAGCAAGACGACCCCAGGCTCATTGAGGTTCGGTTTTGATGTGACGTTTTTCAAATCATTACTATAAGCACAATGCTTAATAAAGTGGTTGATGTTGCTTCATTTGGGACGCGTGAAGTCTTGATTGGCGGTTAAGTATCAACCGGACACTTTATTATGGTATGTGCGTCGGTAATTACGAAACGATCGATGTAATGAAATCCGTTCAAAATAGGATGTCATATGAAACATTGTAATACTTCTGGATATTTTCAATCATCGACTAATTCATAAGGAATTGAACGCTAATAATTTCACTAATTATCAAAATTATGCAGAAATACAGTGGGTGCAATAAGTATTTGACACAAAGTAAAAACTTTTAATTGAGGTTTTTTTAACAAAATGGCATCATCAAACCATATTATAATGCAAATTAATTTGTAAAATTCAAATATCATATCAAAACAACTTTATAATTAAATGTTTATTTGATTATTGCAATTTCGTAAAAGTTAAGGTTCAAAAAGTATCTAACACATCGTAAAAAAATTTATTCGCTAATAAATTCTCATCCATTTAGTATGTTCGGGGGAATAATCTAGAATCAAAAAACGTTGGAATATTCTAGAATGCAAAAGAACGCCATAGACATCTTCCTAACTGCAGTCATTAATTACCTGGCATCGTCATAAAAAGGTGGCAAAATGTTACGCTCTTCAACAATTAATGCTCAAACCTGCATAATTGTCTCAATCAACCGGAAAATCAATTATTCAGCTACACAGAAATGATTTGGGATATAGAAAAATTTCATTTGTGTTAAATATCCCAATTTCGACAACTGGTGATACTGTCCGGAGATGGAAACCATTCAATCTTCCGACTAGTCTGCCTCTTTGAGGTCGTCCTACAAAAATTTCTGATCGTACAACCAAGAGTTTAGTTTTAAAAGTGCAGAATAATCCTCGACTGACTAGCGCTGAAATGCAAAAAAAATGCAATCAAGTGGAACAAATGTTTGCAAGAATACAATTAGGACAGTTCTTCGAGAGAAAGGATTCCGCTCTCGGTCACCAAGAAAAACCTCATTCTTTAAGGAAATTCACGTAAAGATCCGTTGGAACTTTGCTAGAGAACGAGTGAGTAAACCTTGAAGCTTTTGTGATAAATCTTTATGGTCAGATGAGACTAAATTGAGTTGTTTGGTCGGAACTGTGTCAGTCCTTTTTGGAGACAGAAGAACTTTGCATTTCACCCAAAGAATACCGTCCCAACAGTGAAGCTTGGAGGTGGCAGCATAATGATTTGGGGTTATTTCTCTTCTGCGGCACAGGGGAATTGGAAATCGTAGAAGGTAGGATGAACTGCGAAATGTATCAGGGCATTCTTGAGAGATGTCTCGTGAAGTCAGCCGAAAAACTGAACCTTCCTCGAGGTTTGTTATTCCATCAAGAAAATGACCCTAAACACACGGCTAGCGCAACTCTTACATTGTTTTAATAGAGGGACACTGAGTTATTGGAATGGCCAAGCCTCAATCCGATCGAAAATTTGTGGCGGGAAACGAAATTGTGGGTACATGAGAGAGATCCAAGAAATCTTATCCAATTGAAAGAAATATGCAAATAAGAGTGGGCTAAAATTCCTATTAGCATATGTGTTAATCTTGTGAAAATGTATTAAAATCGGTTAGAAGCAGTATTGGCTGCTAAAGGTCACCTGACGAAGTATTGAGTAAATCTGTTTACTATGTGTTGGGAGACTTTTTGAACTATAACTTTTACAGAATTACAATTATCATGTCAACATTTAATGATGTTGTTTCAATATGATATGTGTATTACTCATGTTAATTTACATTTGAATAGTGTTACTTTATGCTATTTTATTGAATAGGCTTTAATTAGGGAAAGTTTTTCCTCAGTGTCGGATACTTTTTGCACCCACTGTATAATTACCTTCCATGTTTACTTCAGAAAATACGCACCCAGTATCTAGATCCACCATCTCTGCAGCCGTACCAGCTCACTGTTGGGGACGATCCTTCACAAGGACAGTCTTCTGCTATCAGGAAGATCATGGGCGAATTTGTGAGTAATCAAGGCTTTGAAGGCACTGAAGTAGTGATAAATATACCTATATGCATGTCATAAATACGTAGTTGACTAAAACGAAACGCACCATTATGGTTTACCACGACTTGCGTGAAAACCTATTTTACCACCTCAAATTGTCCTAACAAAATTTAAATGTGAGCCTGGCTCTGAAACAAGTCTTAGGACTTGTGGAGCCAGGACTGTGTAAGTCAGCTTCTCTATTTCTGTTTTTTTCGTTTTTTGGTGAACTTTCCGATTTCAAGTTGGACAGCCACGCAGACCTCTGGTAGCGCGCCAGAGGTCCAGGGCAGCCTGCCGACCCGGCCAATTTGATGTAAATACCCCCCCTCCCTCCTTCCTAAGCAGCGGGAGGAAACTATGGGCAATTGAATTTATACATTACATATTTTCAATACCTGTTTCTGTAACTCGCTGAATGCAACGGTTCTAAAAAAACTCAGAATAGTGGCGAGAAAAAAAACATTTTTCGCTTACTTCCGAAAAAATAATGCTAGACGTATTCAACAATAATGTTTATTAATCAATGGCTAACAGAATAACATCACTGTTGCGTAATCTCTTTTAAGAGGAACGCTGCCACATTGATATTTATCGAGGCATTGGAAAATAGATCAGAAATTAAACAACATATTTTGGTTGTATGAATTGACAACGGCTTCCCATTCTAATCATTTTGCTTGGAATCTAATACTATAGAGATCCTACTAATTGACACACTGCTGCGTACATAATCAGTGCAATCGATCAGTGCAATATTGGTGAGCCATTCAATGCACCAACACTGGTTTTTCGATGAAGCGAAAACTTTGTTTGTATTTCAATCATTCGGCAAACCCCCTAGATAAGTGATTTTTTACCCATTAAAAAATTTTCTATGATTTTCTCAAGAAACTATGGCATGCAAGGGAATTTCAAAAGGCAAGAAAACATTTTCGAAGTACTTACATATTTCTTACATCGTGATCTCTTCTACCTTACACAAGGTTCTTGGCAATGATAACAGTTGCCGCACGCAGCCATCATAGTCTCAGTTGTACCATTAAACTTGAATTGTATATTCACTTGATTAACTCATATTGCAGCATTAATAAAAGAGAAATATAAGTATAAAATTAGTGATTGCTTAAATAGCAAATGTAGGCGATCGAAAATAATTTATAATAAAACAAACACGAACTTATGCGTACGAACGGGCACCGAATGCATTGTTGTAGTCTTTTATGTACTGGGCAAGCTCGCCCATGATCCATGAACGTCCAGGAGGCTTCAGCCCGGTGAACTTCCGCTCGAGGCTTGAAGCGCAGCCTCTGAGCGGCTTGCAGGCTCGGTAGACTTGACCAAGCCCACTCATGCCATACCCTTAGGAGACTACAAAGTTGAGAATGAGATTATGACTAGTCGCTGATTTCAATCGGCTGGCCAAGAAGACCCAGAATAATTTCAACAGCGCTATAGCGAATTTGTCGCAGAGGCTGAAGCAAACCCCGAATTTTTTTAGCGTGATTTGAAAAAAAAACATTCCCATCGTATAGGAATTATTAATACCACTGCATGCAACAAAATGTAATTCTATTCTACTACTACTACTCCCACTAATAATATTCTGCTACTAATACTATCTACAATATATTTGTGAAAGATTGTGCGAGTGTTTGGAATCTGGGGCTGGATCAATAAATCACTGCTAAGTACACGTAACTTTTTGTATGTAAGGAAACGTGGGGGCAACGGGCCCACTACTTTTCTCAAACTAAATTTTTTATAAAGTTTTAATTGATACGAGGCCATTCTTGGTTTTGTTTAAATTGCAACTAAAGAGGAATGTATGATGTGAATTAGACGCCAATAGATTCATTAAATTTTGAATGAAAAATTATTTTTGATAAAGTGTCAAAAAGGGCCCATTGCCCCAAACTCTGGGGCAATGGGTCCATGGGCTTAGGGCAAGGCGGCCACCTCCTACTCTCATTACCTAATTAGAACATTTTTCTATTTTGAAGATTATAACGACTTTTACAGTTCAACTGCAAAACTTTTGACATCTTTATAGTTCTACATAATTATAATGTTATGAAAAATATTATATCCGTCCTTTTATAAACAACTTGAAAAAGCATCTCCTTAACATGACGAAAATAAATTTTTGGCTTGAAAAATATATCATTGACAAGAAAAAATACATCCTCGACATAATAATACATCCTTGACACGACAAATTTATCCTTGACTAGAAAAATATATATATACTTGACCAGAAAAACTTCTTTCCTGTTTCGCCCATAATCCAAATATTATGTGCACAGAATTTCTACTTACTTGTGATTTCAGCCAACACCATGAAGATAAATAAAATTTTGGCTCATTAGAGTCAAGAACTCTTGCCAAACTTGTTGGTTGAGGAATGTGAATACTTAAATTAGGCCGCTCCATAAAATTCTTCAGCCAATCTCTGCCAGCCATTTTGGTTTGCTTGATAAATGGGCGATTTATGCTTTGTCGCTAAGCAACACGGACTGCAATTCTCCTCATATCTGTGCATGTTAGTCCGAACATTCTTCTTTGCATATCTTTAATGCACGTAGCTTTTGCAACTTCAGCATTTTCAGGGATGGGTTTCTTGTATGATCTTAAACAAAAAACTCCAGGTTGCTTCATTTTGTCGTCTCTATGCCGACGCAATGTTTTCTTTGCAATTTATACTTTGCCTTTGTGGCCTGCAGCGATTTGCCACTCGTAAGTTCCTCCAAGACATTCTGTTCTGTTCAGTTTGAGAATAGTTGGCTATATTGGGCTACCTTTTATAGTTGCGCATCATGTAGTAAGCGTATAAGAACGATAATGGGTCATTGATATGCAGAATCTAGAACCTGCTTCATTGAAGAGGCAAATTAAAAAATCATACAAATAAAGTTGACTTCTAATTCGGAATGCTAGTCATATTTTGTGAAGTGAATTGAGACAAATTTAATGATGTATAACACAAGACTTAGCAGAGAGGTAATGACGGCGCTGTGCTCCGTGACTCGCTACCCTAACAAAATTTAGAGCCGGGGGCGACTCTGAAACCTGGAACGCCGGAATTGGTCAAGATTTGACCACATTTTGGTCAAGACCGCATCTTGGTCACCGCATTCACCGCAAATCTTGACTGCATTTTGGTCAAGATTCCGATCCCTGGTCAGACAGCTACGAGAGTCTGGTCCCGACTCTGGCGACTACTGAGCGGTTCGCATGGGGATCAGACTCTGGCCGAGTCTGATCGTGGGTTATTGTCGCTCGTGGAAAAAACATTTTTCCCTCACAACCAAAGAAATAATGAAAAAAGTTATGGATAATCATCTACTGGTAACAATAACAGTGTAGTGTATTCTTTGCTATGATGAACGCTGCCACATCGAAATTTACCAAAGTATTGGAAAATGTACGAAAAATTAAACTACGATGCTTTTAGTTTTCCAGTGTGTTGAATAAACAAAAACCGGCTTTCTACTCTTTGCATCCTTATTGGTAAGCATTTACAGCATAGAGAACATGCAATTGCCTACATACCCAGTATAGTATTGTAGTCGTTATCGGTAAGCAGTGAAGAGTTGATTTGAGATTACATTACACTTAGCTCACCTGTAGTCCGTTGAAAGAACGACGGACTGCTCTCAAGTCTCGGACGTGGGTCTAGACGATGTATAGCCTAGTTATCCTTAGTATTTGTTTTGGACGTAGCAGTCCCAGGCCACGATGGATCGCCGCCTCTTGTCTATCGCGCATCCGCCCTCATTTGGGCCAGCTGATGCACGATGCTGTTGCTTGCTTCTCGCCGTTGGTAGTGGTGCAGAGACAGTCGATCAGGGATTGTGCCCAGGAACACGTCCAGTCGTCTGTGGTCTCCAGGGTGGATTCATTCTCTCTTAGATCCTTTGGTAGGGCGTTAAACAGCCTCGGCCCTGCCACGGAAAGGATATCCTTCCCGCAGGAATTGAAATCTGACTGCAGATATGTTACGTAATGGGGGGATCCTGCACAGTCTCCTCGATCCCTTCTCCCGTTATGGTATGCCTCAATCTTGAAGGTCTCGCTTTCGAAGTTTGATGCCATTCCAGTTATCATTTTCCTTGTATACAGAATGAAATACCTCTTCCGTCTCTTCTGCAGTGAGTAAAGACCCAGTCCCTGCAACCTCTCCCAGTATTTAAACTAATCTACCCTCTGATCCTGGAAGTGAAGGTTCGTTGGACCCCTTCTAGTTGCCGTACTGCACAGAGTGTGAAAGGTGTCCAGAGCTGGCAGCAGTATTCAATGGGTATTACAAGGGCATTGAAGAATGTGATCATCGGTTCTGCTTCACTTGTTCTGTACGTCCGCCAGATTCACCCCATCTATCGCCTACCTCATGTGATTATTGCCGCTATGTGATACCCAAACTTGGCCTGAGTGTTCATCAATACTCCTAGACCGCGAACGAGTCGCTTCTCGATTTCCGAGTTGTCAGGTGACAGGTAGCGGTGCTCCATTCCAGCTCTTCCGGAACCTCTGTATCTCAGAATCTCAGACTCTGTCCTGTTGAGCTGCATGTTGTTCACTTGGGCCCAGTCATATATTGCAGAGAGGTCTCTTGCAACCTCTCACAGTCCGTCCTGTCAGTAATGGTCATTAGTAACCTGGTGTCGTCCGCGAATAACGAAGCAGTGGCGTGGTTCACTGCCACATCTATGTCGGCGATGTGAATTAGGAAGAGGATTGGGTCTAGTACCATTCCTTGTGCTACTCCGATCATCATCTCCGATACTATACTATACTATACTATACTATACTATACTATACTATACTATACTATACTATACTATACTATACTATACTATACTATACCATACTATACTTGTGAAATAAATATCACAAATGGCACCGGAAATTGGCCCACAATATCGTGCTATGCGAATGAACTAGATGGAGGATGAAGTTCATTCTCCCGCAACTGT